AGTTCATCTGGGAAGATTGAGAGATTGAGAAGAGGAGCTGTCAAAATAGCTAATTTTGATGCCATTACTATTAGTAGTATTCCTGCAGTGATATTTTAGATTCCAACATATCATGCTGATGCCTAGGAGTGTCATTTTCTACAGTCACTGTGTTGAAATGTGTTTTGAGAAGTTGGTCACTTCTTAATAAAGTCTAGGGAGACTAACTTTTTTACTTCACAAAAGCTATTTTTCACAATGCCAGCCATTTGACTTTAAAGATCCATGCCATTCTCTGCTTTTCTCTCCCTTTTAATGTGAAGAAATTAAAATAATGCAAATACAGCTTATAATTTTAGTATGTTTTCTGTTCAGTTCTTTGTGTACCTGCATATTCTTTCAAAAAGCAGTTTGTGTAGTAAATAGACACTCTACGTATTGCATCTAAAATTCTATGACTATAAAGTATATATATCCAGTGTCTAATAGATTTTCTTATATGTTGCTAATTTTTTAGAGTGTTATAATTAGAAATTAGAAAATAATGTCATTCCAAAATTTATTTTCTCGCAGAAAATTCAAATATAAGATATTAGGTAACAAGGCTTTAATACATATATACACTATGTAAATATGTCTGTGCTATACATAATTGCCAGTATATATACCATAATAACCAATATAATTAAATAATAGATATTATACAGTGTTATTTGTATATATGCATATTAGAATAAATAACCCTCAACTAGAAATTCATAATTGAATATTTTACTAAATATTTTACCAAAATATATAAAATGTCCAATGTGCTTTTTTTTGGATTAAAATTAGCACTCAACAAATGATAACAAATACTAAGAAATAAATGTTCTAAAGTGTTAGAAAAACTGCATGGCAAGTGAGATATGGCTTGTAAATTGGATAGTAGATACAACTCAACTTTTTAGCACAGTATACTCAAATAATATAGAAGGTCTTAATTGAAAGTTACATTTCCTAACTTTGGAATTCGTAAAACTTAAGAGAAACTTCCTGCGTACTCTCTAATTATTTTGGGAAACACAAAATGCAATTTGCATATCAGATCTCTCTGGGCAACAGACTCGCTTAACAGCCTGATGGCCAATAATTACTTACGGTTTGTAGGTTTCTCAAAAAGATGACAGACATCAATCACTCCTGACTCAGGGGCCCAGCAGTGAGCGCTTACCAGAGTGGTGGTATTCTCTGGTCGCGAGTGATTGATGGTAAATGTCACATTAGCCCTTAGCAGAGCAGGGAGGTGTTTCATGTAACAATAGCAGAACAGTATCATCCTAAGTACCTGGGAAATGTAGGTCCTCGTCTTACTGTCCCAGAGCACTAGCCCAGCCTTAATTGCCTCCCATTTGAGCAAAAGTCCCCTAAACAGTCTCCTTTTCCTGTCTCCTCAGATTTCAGAATAGCATCCTCACTGTAAACAGGACAATCTTTCTAAAATAAAATACCGTGACAAGATTTTATTGAGTGAATGTTAGGACCTAAGGTCCAAATGTTAGGACCTAAAGCAGTGTTCAATGCTTGAAAGGGATCACTACTTTTTTTCTTTTTTTTTTTTGCGGTACGCGAGCCTCTCACTGTTGTAGCCTCTCCCGTTGCGGAGCACAGGCTCCGGACGCGCAGGCTCAGCGGCCATGGCTCACGGGCCCAGCCGCTCCGCGGCATGTGGGATCTTCCCGGATCGGGGCACAAACCCGTGTCCCCTGCATCAGCAGGCGGAGTCTCAACCACTGCGCCACCAGGGAAGCCCGGGATCGCTTCTTTAATCCTTACAGTAACTAAAAAACAGATTATGAACTGGCTCTCAGAGTGTTTAAGTAACTTGCTTCAGGTGACTCTAATAAGTAGCAGAGCTGCTATTTGAATTTAGGTTTGTCTTATGTGGGAGGCTTTTCTCTTTCTGATAATGTCATTTCCCCTGATGAGAAATCAAGTGGTTTCGCATTGATGCAAGAGGACAGAGTTCAAACTCAGTTGCACACCCTCAAAGCTGTACATGATCTGCCTCCATCCTATACCTTTTCAAAGTTTTCTCCCACCAGTGGAAATATGTATGAACCCCATACATGTTCTACTCCCCTCCTTGCTTTTGTATATGTATCCTCTCTACTTGGAATACCCTTGCCAACTCTCTGCTTATTCAAATACTATATTATTTAAAGATCCAATTCAAAGTTCATTCTTTCTGTGATTCCTTTCTTGATCACTTTCTCCAAATCATTGTAGAACTTTCTTTGTACCTGAATTACAACATTATATTACTATTATTCATTTATGTGTTTTATCCTTCCCACTAGACCATAAATTACTTGAGGGGAGAAGCTACTTCAGACTCATCTCTGCATCTAACAGTGTCTATCTTGAATGGGTCTGCGGACGCAGTTGGCCTGACTAAATAAAGGCATGAGTGAATGGATGCTATGTCTTTACCTAAACAATCTAACCATTCGATGATACAATTTTTTTCTTTCAGAAAATGTAGAGTACAAATTTACCAATTTGTTCAATTGTGAGGGGATTTTTAAAGTTCCCTTTTAAAGGGTGCCTGAAGTATTATGAAAGTTTGTAAAAGTTGTCTGAAATTCTCATTTTATCCATTCAGTCATTTGTTCAACCAGCAATTTTTGAATGCTGACTCTATTCAGGAATTATGATTGGCAATGCAGATACAGAGATAAAAAGGCAATGTCTTTACCATGGAGAGATTTATAGTGTAGTGAGAAATCCATGTCAGCAGATAATCAGTGCAACATATAAAATGCAGAGGCATCTAAGGGGAAGTAGAACTTTGATTTGCTTAGCCAAGTCAGGGAAGACTTCACTGAAGCAACATTTGAATAAAGTCTTGAAGGAAGAGGATTGATGTATTGAAGTTCTTTTAAAATTTACAGTTAGGGCACAGTTTAGGGTAGGGAAGGAAGAGGTGGAGAGGGAACAGTATTAGACATTAATGACCCTGCAGAACAGTTGATTTATTAGGACTATAACATATTAAACCAATACAGGTACAAAAATTTGTGGGTAAGCGTCATAGTGTGCCAAAAAGGTAGCCCGAGATACTGCATTTCCTTGTGGAAACTCAGGACAAGGGTGTTGAAGGTAAGAAACGGCACCAAAGTTGATGGATTTGATCCACACCATACGTAGGTATAAATCCAGCTCCATCTAAAGTGACCTGAGGACTTCCCTGGTGGCGCAGTGGTTGAGAGTCCGCCTGCCGATGCAGGGGAAACGGGTTCGTGCCCCGGTCCGGGAAGATCCCACATGCCGCGGAGCGGCTGGGCCCGTGACCCATGGCCGCTGAGCCTGCGCATCCGGAGCCTGTGCTCCGCAACGGGAGAGGCCGCAACAGTGAGAGGTCCGCGTACTGCAAAAAAAATAAAAAATAAAATAAAGTGACCTGAGTAGTACTAGCCACAGAGCTATAGTCTCTCCATCATCAGTCAATTCTCAGAAGCTAATTAGTGTTCACGGTGGAAGACAACTGCAATGGAGAGTGTACTTTGTGTATTGCTTCCTTGGCTCCAGAATTTGATTAGCAAGAGGCAGAGACCAAAGGAGTTAGAACTCATGTGTTAATAATTAAATTGACCATTAAAATTTATGATTAATAGGATAATTAAAATTAATGGTTAGATTAATGTTGAAACAGCCAGTGCGTTCCCTCCGGAGGATTTAGAATAATACAGAGTACAGCATTCCTGTTTAATGAATTCTTGTCAAATACATGATAGAGAATTCTGAAAGTTCTAGGATTTCCAACTTAGGTTTGAAAGAAATTTATGGATCATCTTAGAAATACTGATGTTTATCCTGCCTCCCTCTCCTCAGGCCTACTGAATCAGAATCTCTGTGGAAGGACCTGGGCTTGTGTATGTTAATAGAGTCACACAGGTGATTTCAATGTGCCTTCCTGGTTAAGAACCACCGTTAAAGTTCATTCTCTATATTGCACAGATGAGGAAACTGAGATCCAGAGGGATTAAGTACATTGTTCAATCCCATACAGTTAGTAAATGACAGAGCTGGGATTTGAATTGTTATTTTCCTTTCCCGTACTCTTGGCAGTACTCCATAGCTGCCTCTGAAGGACTTGACCACTAGAGACATGGGGAAGAACTAGCAAACGAAAGCTAATTACAGAATAGAAACCCTGATCAGAAATTTAAAATGGCAGTGTCAATGAAGCAGGAAAGCAAAGAGAAAAGACTACTCCCAAAAGATCAAAGAACCCTTAACTAGAACAAAAGAAGGTGGAGAGATGGATTCCCTCATTGAACAAACATTCTTGAGCGTTTATTATGTGCTAATTCCTGAAAACAGGAGAAAAGAGAAGGCAAATGACGAAGCCTAGGCTTTACTCTCTGGGGTTTTAGAGTTCTTTTAAAAATAAGAGTATTTTTGACTAGAAGGGTGGAGATTCATAGATCAATGATGTTCGATTTGCCTTGAAGTCTCTTTTGCATGTAAAGCTACGCAGATGGCTAACCTGCCCTATTTTCCTGGAAACCAGCGCTGGGTGTACGAAGCAGCAGCGTTCTCTGTTTTCTGTCATCATACAGGGAAATGCCAGTGCTCGTGAGCTGACACATGTGAAAGCGTATGAAATACAGGAGAACTTCAGGCTCCGGCTCCTTAATAAGCCACCTACTAATGGTCGCAATGGTCCGCATTAGGTCTCCACTCCATGCATTTATAGGGAAGACACCTGGACAAAAAAAAAAAAACACTGAATTTATTACATTTGAGCTTTGGGCATCAACTTCTATTTGGAATGTCTGGGGTTTTTGGGGCTTTTTTTGCAGTACGCGGGCCTCTCACAGCTGTGGCCTCTCCCGTTGCGGAGCACAGGCTCCAGACGTGCAGGCTCCGGACGCGCAGGCTTAGCGGCCATGGCTCACAGGCCCAGCCACTCCGCGGCACGTGGGATCCTCCCGGACCGGGGCATGAACCCGCGTCCCCTGCGTCGGCAGGCGGACTCTCAACCACTGCGCCACCAGGAAAGCCCCTGGAATGTCTGTTTTTTATGAGCTGAGCTGGAAGTCATAGAGCCTTAAAGCCTAGACCAAATGCAGAAGAAACGTTACTCTTGGTCCTTTGTCCTCTATGTCCTTAGTCCTAAATCTTGATCCATGATCTCTTATCACTCTCTTTGCAAGAGCTGAAAAACAAACAAACACATAAATTCAAGGAAACCAGGAAAAGGGTGAGAATTTGTCTCCCTGAAGGTTAGAAGATTTATCTTCAAGCATCCTTCCACTTTTCCTTTCCCCACACTTGTCCCTGCTTGGCCAACCAAGGGAAGAGGTTTTCTGCAGCCTGTTAATATTCCTGGCCCCTACTGAATCACGCATATGGAAGCAAGCAAGGAAGAGTTTAACCTCTGCTCAGAATACCAAAATCTCTGGCTCCTGTCAGCATGACCTACATGAGCTTTTCTCATCATTCAGGTTATGAAATTTAACTGAGACGTATATCTAGTAAATGGCAGGACCCGTATTTAAATCCAAAGTTAGGAAGCCAATGTGCCTTCTATTTCACTACACTTACTCTCTGTGTGAAAGAAATCTGATTTTCCTATGATATGGGTTTCTTGCCTATGCTTTACTTTCCCTGCATTGTCCTCTTGCTACATGCCTTTGGTCCTTCAGAGAACACTAATGAGGCTTTAGAGATCAATTCACAGAATTTAGGTTGGTTGGTATACTTAGAGAGTCCTAATTTTTCTTCTAATAGGACTTGGATGGGTAATTACTTACAATAGATTTATTTGCTCCAAAGAACTACATTGGTCTCTGTAGTTACAGCAGGATGGTGATGTTCTTGAATTTAGCTTTTGCAATGTTGCCTATGAAAAAGGGAACCCAGAAGCCTGTGATATGGAGTGGTTTACTGCTGTATTGAGACACAAACAGGAATGTCCAATCCAGAGTTACATAGGAACAGGTCCTTTGGCCAGTTGCCAAGTACCTGCATGGCAGCATCCTTTCTTATCCTCCATTTGCAATTATTTATGCATTTTAGGAAAAAAATATTTCTGGAATTTAAAGCCTTTCACGTTTATGGGAATCCCAAAATCTGTGGATGTATCACTCTCAAATGTCAGAGGTTGACTGATATGCCTCTGAACTGTCATTCTCTCAGGACTATATAACCTATGACTTTGTATATCTCAGCAGGGCATACTTGAGACATAGGTCATATACCAGTAGAAATAGTTCTAAATGTTGCATTTTGTATAATGGCATGCCCTGTAAAAGCCAGACCACGCTTAAAAGCCCTCTGCCTATACCCACATCCCTTCCATTCATGTAACAGTTTGCTATTAATAAAAATATTTTTAATTTCAGATGTTTCACATTTGCTCCTCATGGCCAAACTGGGAGGTAGAATAGCAGGTATCATTTCTTCAGGTTTATTGATGAGGAATATGTTGCTCAGGGCACTTAGGAGTCTTGTCTCAAATCTTGCACTTAGGGAGTGATCCAGATGAGACTTAAATCCAGGGCTCTTAACTATCAGAGCCAACTCTTTCCATCATTTCATGACATCGCTTGGTTAATGCATCAGGAGTTTCTCTCATCACCAGCTATAATAGAAAAAAAATCATTTATTCATTTATGAAATATTTACTGAGTGCCTGCTATATTCTGAACAATGTAAGTGGCACTGGGGATTTGAGGTGAATAAAATATGATTCTTATCCTCAAGGAACACATAATTTGCTGTGGGAGATAAATAAATAAATAAATAAATAAAGTGATTGTGTTTTGCAAGTAATCTAACAAAGGTTTAAAAAAGAGTACCATAAACCACAAAGTATTACATAACTCTGCCTGGGATGATCCAAAAAGGATTTGATAGGACATAATCTCCTTTTGTCCAGAGAATTACATGGCCCACAGAAACAGTAGTGTTTCAGCTTAGGAGTCCTAGGTAAGAACTGTACTAATTTGGGGATCAGGAGATTTGATTTTAAAGAACTAATTTACAGAGTGACTTTGGCAATTTTTTTCCCCTTTTGGGCCTCAGTTTCTTCATCTGTGAAATGAAAGGATTAAGCTAAATGATAGGTAAGTTCCTTTCCTGCCCCAAGGCTTTATTTTATTTTATTTCTTTTGCTTTTCTCACAGATGTGCATAAATTCCCTGTAGGGCTGTTTTCAGAAATTGCTTCTTAGATTTTTTTCAAGTAGAAACTCATTCATGATGTCAGTGTCTCTTTTCACTGGGAGGTTGGCTCTAATTCCCATTGTCTATCAGCCCACAGAGCCTGTTGTTTGCCAGGAAGTCTGGGACCAAAGCCCAGACTGTTTCAGTTGGAATTACTGATATGTGCTTCACTGCATTATTCAGTATTTGGTTTGAGCTGGGCACTTTCTAAATTATTCTTGCCATTCTCATTTCTGTAGGTAAAGGATAAGAAAATGTGGATTGAGAGATCTTTTGACTTCTATTATCCTAGAACTGCTGTAACCATAGGTAAACAAAAAAGCCAACATTGCTCCTGAGAAACCCAAGGCAGGTGGCCATGTATGTCCACATGCAAAATTAGACTGAAATCATGTCTGCTTTCCATTAAAGGTGCTGAGGGTCGTATTTTATGTTTGGAATGTCTTTATGGTATGCACTTCTAATTACTTATATTATTCATTTCATTGTCTATCCATATTATCTATAACCTCACTCCCTCAAAAGAAATAGGACTAATAATTTGGACCTTATCCTTCAAAACTCTCCATGTACATACCTATGAATATCACAATTTATCATATATATAATAATGCATAATTCTCTTGAAATACACATTTGCATAGGCTTTTATGAAAATGAGCTCACACTACATATACTGCTCTGTAGTCCCTAATTATTGCGGATGAGTTTCCATGTTAAATGGTTAGTTTTAAATGTTCACTTTTAATCTTCACAAGCAATTTAGAAAGTCAATAATAAAGATTTAGGTTGGATCAAATGTATACTATTATAAACAGAAATGCAATGAAAATTCTCATATGAAAAGATGCAGACAGTTTTCTTTAAGACCAATTTCTAACAGCAAACTGAATTAAAGGCTACTCACTTTTTAGAACTCTTATGCACGTTACCAATTTGCCCTCAAATAAAGGACATGAGAGTCTCTGCTTTCATATCTTTGTCAACACTGGATACGAAGTAGCAATTAATTTTAGGAAAACAAAAGCCTACGTTTTTTTCAATATATACCTTTCTCACTTAATATACATGTAGAGCTATCTTAGAACAAGTGTCAAGGTTGCACCTTTGACTCCTCTTGAGTCTTCTCTAGTTTTTCATATAGACCAGGTTCCACATTGTACTTTTTCATGCTTTTAGAAGATTAATAGAGCACAACAACACAACTTTGACTGAAAAGCCAGGATTTTAAATCCCAACTCTTTCCCAAACCTCCCTATCTATAAAATAATTATGACCATCTTAATAATTTTGTACAGCACCATATACTTTTCAAAAACTTCCCGTATTTATTCTCTCATTTATTTTCTATACCAGTGTTGTTAAAACTGCAGAAAAGATCTGACATTTAAAGATTAAAAGTTCACTTTTGTTGAACAGAGAATTATGAATTTAATGATGTGGGATGAAGACTGTTTTTCTCTGTCCTGCCCAATTACCCGACAGTGACCAACTTTCCATTTAAGATTTTTCTTTAAAGTGAGCTACATTTTAAAATGTCTTTGACTTATTGCAAGTTCCCACTCATTGATACCACAGAACTATTTTCTATGTACTATACCAAACTTAGAGTCAAGATTCCTAGCTCCAAATACAGTGCCCCGTACATAATAAATGTTCAATAAAGTCTTTGGAATGAGTGGATGAAAAATAGTAAGGCATAGTACCTACCCTCATATGATTTTTCCGACAAATGGAGGGAACAGAAGGAAAAAAGTTAATTAAATGATGTTGTCAAATTCAATGGTAAGATCGAGAGCAGAGTTGAATACCACCTAACACTGATTTAGGTGGGAGGAAAGCATTTAGCGTCAGAAAAAATTTCCATCAGAAATTGATATTGACCTGGGACTTAAGGCCTGAATAGGAGTTTGTTACTTGCTAAGTGTGAGAGGAAAGACCGGGCAAGAAAGGTAATGGGATTTCAGCGAGTGAGAAAAGTACAGGGTAAAAAAGTATTATAAAATGCATAGATGGAAAAAACAGCATGGTATTGTATCCTACACCACAGTATTTTAGGTTTATTAATTTGTATGCTTATGTCATATCTCCAATTAAGTTTATTATTTTGTATGCTTATGTCTGAATCAGGCATGTATAATGCAGGACCCATGGCAGATATAGTTGATTCCTCTTTTGTGACCTCTCATGCACAATGGAAATCAGTCATGAAAAACATCCTGGCACTTAAAAAATAATTACATTCCTTACTATTTATTACCTGACTGTTTTTATCATCATGAATTTCTACAGAAGTGACAGTATGGAATTGAAGCCATACGTAATTTTCTGATCCAGTTCTCTATCGCATGAAACGGCATTAATTCACTAAATTATGTAGTGAGTGTCATGTATGTCTTTTAAATTGTGTCTTCCATAAAACTTGGAAGAAAATCTTATTTTTTGTAAAAATCAAATTCATTTATTCAACATATATTTATTAAACATCTTTTGTTCCAACAACAAAAGATGGTAGCTGCCCTAAACAAAACAAAACAATACGAAACAAAAAACGCTTAGAGTTTGATGATTATTTTAAATGGGTGATTCCTAAGAACTAAAATATATAGCAGGAAACCCAAATGCTGGAAACAGCTCAAATACTGACCTTGCTTTGCTTTCATTAGCTAACCACAGGACTGATTCCTTAAACCACATTTTGCTCATGGATCTTGTCTTTCCCACCACTTATTTTTAATTATGCTGGAAATGCAATCAGTCCTGAAGATCAGGAATAGTGTTTATGCTAGCAGTAATAGTACACTAGGCAATTTAATTATATCCTTGAGATGATTTTCTGGACCAATTAGTTGAACCCGTTTTCTCTGAGTAATTCATTGTAGTCCATTTCAGATTACTAATACATGTCATTAACTAAGTAACAATCCAGAAGATTGGCTAATTGTTTTTGCTCTTTTACCAAGAAAGCTTCTGAAATGTCTCTCTAGGGCCCTTCTATGCAGTAGGGACATACGGAACTATGAACTATTTTGTTTTCTCAGGCTAAGAGACCCACCATGGTATGCACGTTGGCAATGTAGCAAAATGGCTAAAAACATGGACGGAGTTCCAAGTCTCAGTACATGCACTTACTAGAGAAATTATTTGGGGCAAGTTACATAATCTCTTTAAGGCTTCGTTTACTCATTTGTGAAATGAGTAATAATAATAGGATCTAACTGATAAGGTTGCTGTAAAGATAGAGTAATATCCAGGCTAAGAATGTATCACAAAGCCTTGCACGAAATAAGTGTACAATACCATAGATACCATTATTATTAGTAGTAGTACCAATAATTAGTTATTTCGAATGACTTCACAGATGTGTTCAAGCAGTAATGTCATGAAAAATAATTCTTTATTTACCTTTTCCTATTAGATAATCCATCTTAATAGACTATATTCATGGTCAAGTTACTTGCCCTTCTTTTCCAGCTGCATGGTCCAGTTCAAGCCTTACCTCTGTGGTGTCCCTGGGGGAATCACAACACTGCCGCTTGAACTTGAATAGCTCCTGTTATGTAGCATGGAGGGCATTGGGATGTCCATCAAATTGGATCAAATACAGTCAGCAGCTGTCTAACCTTGGTCAAGTCACTTCCTCCTCTCTGGGATGCTGCTTTCTCTTGTGAAATAAAGGCCCCTTCAGTTCCAACCTGCTGTCATCTCTCTCGTGAAATTCTACCGATGAGAATCTCCATTCCTTTCAACTCATTCTCATATTCCTCTAACAGGGGTCCTACCATCTTTCCACATGTTCCAGCTCTGAGTATTCAAATACTCTTGCTTATCCTAATCTGAAATTTTTGTCAATTCTACTCATTTCAGTTTGGTCTTTGGTCATTATAGCCACATAGCCAAAGTTAGTTCTCATGTAATGCACCTTGGAGGATGGTAATCAGGCCCTATCAGAGTTCTCTGGGCTTTACATCCACAGTTGTCTTAGCTATTTCTCATATCAGCTGGGCTCCAGACTCATGGAGAATATGGACCCTTCATGAAGTCCATCCACGAGGCAGATCCATGAGGATAAGAATGTACTTTTGGGCCTATTTATTTATGCAACTTGGCAAGGCACCATGACCCTCCAGTGACAGGATGGGACTCCTCACCTTAATACCCTCCCTTAATAGTACCTTCATCCTCTCCATTGTTCAGCCTTGAATCTCCTGGAATATGCATATATTTTATTTTCAAGTTTGGTTGAGTTTACCTCCATGATGTTTCTCACATCCATTCCCACTGATTCCCTTTACTTCAAGTTCTTATCTCAATTGTAATAAATTTTTCACTGGTCACTTTGCTCATAGTGTCTTCACCTTGGTTCATCTTCTAAAGTTCTAGCAGAATATTCCTTTCAAAATATCGTTCATCCAGA